TTTTTTATTGTTTAATTGCGATACGAGTGTGATCTGAATTTTAAAATCATTTTCTCTCGCCGTAGTTACTGCATTTCGACTAATTAAAATGAAATTTAAACGCTGGTGGGTCGCTTTATGGCACTGAGTTGCCACGTTGTCGTCGCTAAAATCAGCAATTATCCACATGTAAATTTTATAGTTGGAGCGTCTTGAAGCGACGTTCCCGGTGTAACCGTAAACCATTACACATTCATTAACGGCTGAATTATTATTATTATCTTGTTTAAAGGAATTCGTTTATTATCCCTCTTAACTTCGTTTACGTGTTGTCTTGTTGCCACTGAGTTCACCTGTCAACATGTCAGGCCGCAACCTAAACTGGTTCCGATCCATCTCACATTCGTGCATCTTGATTCAACCGTCAAGCATCAGAAAGTTAATGAACATTTTATGAATTACCAAAAACATCAATTAAAAGCATCAAGATACTTCCCCTCTGCTGCTTTAAAGCGTTGAAAGATATCTTTTATGAATACATTTTTAATGTGAATCTCTTTTTATATTTAAAAAACACTAATTTCATTTGTAGATACAAGTATGGTTCCTTAAATGTCTAGAGAAGATTTGAGGACAGGAGCAACTTTGTGCATTTTAACTTTAAGTGCTAAAGTTAGATTTTTTAATATACAGAATTTGTGATAATATAATTTTATAACATTTAAAAAATAATGATTTGGATAATCCAATGAAATACATATAACAATCCATCACAAACATTTTGCACTGTCAAATAAGTTAACGATTGCTAAGAAGATAGATTAGACAAACTAAAACTCTCTGTTTTCTAGATACTAATAAAGTTTTATATAAAATATCTGCAGTAAATTTTTAATTTCAAACTAAATATATAAAAATGGTACACAAAATAAGAATATTAATAGAAGGGTTCTAACAGTAATGAAGAAACAACAACAAAAATTTGATTAATTTATTGTAATTTACCTGACCATATAAGGCTGTTTCGAGTATTGCCAAGTACTTATGATCAGTAATCTTAGCAAATATTCTAATATTTTTTTTAAATTAGTTTATAGTCCGTATATGATTTGTTAGACTGCAAGTGCTAAGTAGCCACTAGTAGCCAAGTGTTGAGAAAGCGAAGGTATCAGTTAGATTGAACGTCACAAAATTAAAATTCAAACAAATTAAAGTGAGTTCACAGTTAATTGTGATTAAGCAGCAAGCATATGTATGGATATCTATTAAAGTCTTTCAGAATACCATATGACAGGGAACTTATATAAGGATATAATACTTGCATATGAAATTATGTATGTTATATGCTTCTGTTTTGAACATAACACGAACCTGAAGCTACTATATAGTTTTAGAACTTACTTGCAGACACAAGAAGACGCAGAATTTACAGTAGCGAAAATTAAAAATATATTTCAGCTTTTATTGTTTAATAATAATATTAATGTTGATTTCTTCAGATGTACCGAAGGCGTATCGTGCGTGTCTTTGACAAATGCTGCTTCGATGTCTCTCTCCTACAACTACACTATATATGAGAAGCTAGTTATTGGTTGCCTTTATCACCTTAATCAATAGATATGCCTTGAGAATATTTTAAGGCTCTTCAAATCAATTTATGTAAGTTATTTGGAGTCTCTGAAAACGTATTTTCCATAAGATACTAAGACTGGGTATTCACGCTATAAACAATAAATTATTTGTGATAAAGTAAAAAGCACTAAATACATACTTTTCATTGAATTGACTAAGTTATTTTGACATGCTCAATTTTAATTATTTATGTATTTTATGTCAAAAACCTGTTGTACAGAGATTATGATATAATAATCTTAAACAATATATTTGTTATTTATATATTTTTTTATTAAAAACTTTATTCTACAGAAATTAATACAGGCTGTCAACCGCTACTGTTTTTCATCTTCCATAATGAATTCTTAAATTTATTAATATCTACGCATTTAAAATAACTCAATTTGGGTGGTCTTAAAGGTTTTCCTTTTTCTACTTCAAAGATACACAGTAAGTACCTTTTCAAAACGAATATTAATAACAATTTAATGGTTATTTATTCCAAGTATCTGCAACCAATAAAGAATCTCGTACTACAGTTTCCTTCAACCTGTTTTAAAAATTGTTAACCAACGAAAAAATGTTGGTGTTATGTAAATTAATAAAACTTCAACTCCATTAAAAAACAATTTAATATGCAAGATACTTTTTTTTAAACAAGTTACTTATCTGTGCCATTGGAGGAAACAAAAACTTGAAGGTACATTTTCTGAGGTTGCCTGAGATAAGGTTTAACTTTGATAAAAGGATTATTTAAAGAGCGAGAACTATTCATATAAAAATATGAACATTTTTTTTCTCCTGACAGATAGGTTAATTTAGATAAATCCATAAGCACTATTAATGGATACAAAGGGGCTTATTGGAAGATTGTAGCTATTATTATTATTTATTAAAATCATTTAAATTTTATTTTAGTTAGAAGAGTAGGTACTAATTGAAGATGATTACATGAGCATTTCAGAGACAAAACACTAAAGTTTATTTAATCCTAATCATCATTCCCTATGTAAATCGTAATCGCCAATTTATTATTTGTACTAACACATTGGCTAGAAATACTGAGTTATTATGAACATGAATTGCTTCAAGAAGACTATGGGATCGCCTTAATTAGGTAGGAAAGAACGGGAGACATTTAAGGAATCAGCAAAGTGCTTTTAGGATAATGGATGGAGAGTAATACTACCTTATAGATGTGTAGAAGCTTTCATGCTGAAGAGGTATATGAATCCACCCAATCACTATTTATGTTTTTGTTCAGGACCACAGCTTCTGTAATGTTTAGTTACAATAGATTTTTCACTGGCCTGACGGAGATAACGAAGATAGACTTATTACATCCTTAACTTTATTTAAAAGATCAAATGGTTTAACTAAGGATAAAAGATGTAGTTGTAATTGAAACAACTTCTTTTTCTTTGCACTTCTTGAGGGTATTACAACACTTAGAACGTCTCGGAACCACTGTTAATATTTGTATGGACATATGCTCTTTTAATTTAAACACATATAACTGTTTTTAAATCTATTAAATCTCTTATTACGCTGATAACCCCAAAAATCATACGTGAGTATTGATGGAACTGTAATTTTTTAGAGTGATAGCTTGAGGTTGAGCAGGTGGTGAACGTCTTTGAACTTCATAAACCACTTGCTGAAATCTTTCCGAAAGATTCTATTAATTGAAACTTCTTAATTATTATTTTTAATAATTAAACTGTGGATAAAACCTAATAAAAGAATTCCTAAGTTGTATTATTTTTCAATCGCCGTTAACATTTTTTGGCATTTCATTACGAAATACTTTTACTTTTTTCTTGAAAGTGCATTCAAGAAAAAAAAAATTTCAGTCACAAAATATTAAGTCACCAATATTTTTTTTATTTGTTACTTCATTAACTTCAATATTACTAATAATAAAATTATTTTCTATTTGGTTTGAAGAAACTTTCTTTAAATTACGTGCTAAAGCCTTAAAAGTGGGTTTAATGTATTTCTACGAAAACGTTTAGTCAACCTAAAGACAACTTCGATTAAAGATAAAAATGAGTTTTTTTTTATTCGCTTAACATATTGAGAAATATGTGAATGAAATTTATGAAATAATTCCATGAAATAATTATGAACATACATACATCAATATAAATATAAACTATTATTATAACACCTACTTTTACAAAGCACAGTAACGTAAGCCCTGTTGATACAACAGGGTTTAGAGACTTACTTTAAACCCATAAGGGGGCACAATAGATCCGACAGACGCAGTGCCACATCGCCTAACAATAATAATAAATAATAATAATAAGGAAAGGCGTCACTCTTAAGAGGGTACTTGAAGGTCGATTTATTTATGCATAGGATGTATATATTCTGTATATGTATAAATAATATACTATTCCTCTCGGCAGTTTGGAGTAGATATGTTGCTCCGGGTTAATGTAATTATACTTAACACATCACTGATATTATATATATATATATATACTATATATTACATTCTTGAAATTTATATTTCTGGCGAAGAAATATCAAAATTTATGAAGGTGGGACTTATAAGAAATACTAATTTACTTTCAATAGAGAATAGTTCCTAGTAAAGTGTATTAAAAATGTGAGTGGAGTGGATATGAGTTAGTTACTAAAGCTTATAATAATGTTGAAGTATTTAGATTAAATTTTGTATATTATACTATGAAAATATCTTAAACAAAGATTTCTCAATTACTCAAAGTTAATATTAATATTAAAAAGATTTCTACAAGTGTTTCCTAGCAATTTTTTAAGAAATTACTCTTCGTTTATTATTTTGCTATTTTGGTGCTTTTACCTGACACATTTAATTTTTTGTTTGTTTTTTAATTTGTTTATTTTAATATTATATCTAGATAGGGCATTGTTCATGTGTTCAATGATTGGACTGAAGAGATTTATTTTGTAACAGATATAAATTGAATTTAATAGAGCAAAACTTTTACAAAAGCATTCTTAATTTTGTAAAAGTTTGAGGTAATAATATCAAAGATTTAAAAAAACTATTTTCAAGAGCAAAAAGCTTATACATAATCTGAGTGTATTGACAATGTTGATTGGATGTGACTTTTAATGGACAAGGAAGCAGACGAAATATAATTTCATTGAATATGTATTTTATGTATTTTATAATATGTATTATTTTTTTTATAAATTCTACTTTTTATTATTATATACAAATAAGCATTTAACATATAAGCATTTTAATTTATAATAATTTTAGTTTGTATTTATTTTATTATTTAAATGATTATATTATTATTTATACTATTTAATCATACTTGTTTTAATAAATTCTACTTCTTAATATTATATACGAATAAAAATACAATATATAAATACATTTTAATTTATAATAATTTTAAACTTACCTTAAAAAGTATATTTAATATTTTTAGCTGACGTACGTTTTGAATGAACTGCAGCTTAAGGTTATTATACTTTAATAAGAAAAAATTTAAAATTAATAAAAATTTTTTAAAAATAAAAAATTACAAATAAAATTAATAAAATTCGAGTTGTAAAACATTTAACATTTAAAAAAAATTAAAACAAAAATGTCTTGAGCTTTATTGAGAATCAAAAAATATATGAAAAAGCCATAAAGCGCACCGATTGGAACGAAACGGAACGGAACGACTACGAATTCGGTTAAATGAAGCGGCAAAGTTGAGTCAAAAACTTCTTAATATTCTTGGCAGGACGCGTTGCAGTACAAATTTGACTTTGAAAAGTGGTGTCGAAATAATTTTCGTGTTTCTTTTTTGCACATTTGTTAAATATATTTTTTGTGCGAATTAATACAATTTTATTATTTTTAGGCTTTAAAATTTTAAACATTTTCAGATTTAGCACAAGATAATGTTAATGAAAAATTTTATATTATGTTTAAATAGATTCAATTTTATTTTTATTAAATTTATTTAATATAAAAAAAATATTTATTTATTGTTTTTAATTAATTTAAAAAAATTATTATTAAATTTAAAATTTATTATAAATTCAATAAGCAATCACATATTTTTGTTATTGTTATTGTTATTATTTATACCTTTTATATATATTTTATATACACAACACTTTCTTTAAAATATCTTAATAAAATTTTATTTAAAGAACAAAGGGTTTTTATAACCGTTTCGTTACTTGCGCACTTTCGTCTTATACGCTTGCGCATCCGCCGCGTTCTGATATTTCTTCACAAAATTTCTTCTTTATTTTGCGCTAATTTTGGGTTTTTTAAAAGAATTACAAATTCAATAACAACAAAAGCAACAACAACAAGTATCAATAAAAATAATCTTCGTTTCCGATTCCAAATAAAAACAAAAAAAAAAAAGAACGTATTTATTTCAATTTCGTTTCAAGTTCGTTTGACTTTTCGCCTGTGCGGACTGTTTTTGTTTATCTTCGTTCGGCTGTCGTCGTAGGACTGAACGATTTGCCTCGTTGATGGCTTGCTTTGTTTTTGTGGACATTGAATTTGTATGCAAAGGAATCGGTTGTATTGGCTAAAACACCTCTTAAGTGCTTCTTTTTGTTTTTGTTTTTGGTTTATTTAAGACCCAACACACTTAAAAGTTGACAATTTACGAATGCGCAGTGCGTAGTGCGTGCGGCAAGACGACAATTAAAATGCTTCATTGCAATGCTGAAGGTGTTAAAGCAGCCAACACTGCACATGCGTGGACGGCAGAGTTTAGAAATTGTCTAGTTGGTAGGTTTGCCCAGTGAGGTTAAACAATGCAGGCACGTTTTCAAATTACACTTACAAAAATCTATTGAACCTATTACGATATGATTTTACTTAGAATAATATATCTACCTTAACTTTATTTAATGCTATTAACTCATTACTCAGATCTGGATATGCAAATCTTCGACGTAATAAAAAACTTCAATGACAAATTAAATACTGTTAAAAACGCTTCCGACTGGTGGAATCTAACAGAAAATTTCAAAATTAGTCCCCTTAAGGTAGCTACTTCTCTACAATGTGAAGACTTTCGTATTCACTATGAATCCCTACCTCTATGCAGTTCCGACTTCCAAGCTATCTCTTGGTGTCTTCCACTTTTTGTTAGTTACCAAAGAACTAACTGACTCCTTTTGTACTTCGTGAACTCCAGCTTGTGCTTGCAAACATCAAATCTTATGAAGCTCCAGCTAACGACCGCATTCCTTATGAGTTCTACAAAAACACTTCTCCTGGTTTCTTTAACGAGTTACTTATCTATAAGGATCTGACACTAAATAGCATTTTATGCTTCGCTAAAAGTTCTAGGTCGTTTTAAACCCCGAGTTTTTCCTATATATATGATAACACAATGAGCCAATAGGCCTAAGTGGATCTACTAGGGATCGCCGGTATAACATAAGCTAACCTAATCATATATATATATATTATGTATTATAATTTTATATTTCTTCACGGTGTCATACCATCTCCCAATATAGGTGATCCCAATATAGTTCACAAAAATATAGGGCATTATTATTGCTCGACTCTATCTATAAAATAATTACTGGTGTAATACTTTCGCGTATGAATAGCTGGGTTCAGTTCAATAATATCTTAAATGAATACTAAACTGGATTCCGCAGATCCTATTCAAGTTCCTATCTCTATCTTAACTTTTAAAATACTATGAATTGAGTGAAGATTTTGACAGTTGTTCAGGAATTTTCTAATTACAAGCCCACAGGAAGATATACTGACCTACGATCCGTCATCAATTAAAAGATGAATAAACAATATGAATTCCTGCATAGTTAAAGCCTAGTGTGGGGTAGAGATAAGCCCCCCAGCCACAAAAGAGTAAAAGTGCGCAATAGCAATAACTCAAGAAACCACAACAACAACAACTAGATGCCAAATTATCTGTAATATTTTCGTCAATAATTCTGTCAAAACTACTGATACTATGTATATCAAAACCTTTATTGTACTTTATTTTTATTGACTCATTAGCTCAAGACTACCTAAATTATAACTTTACTAAAAACGACACCACAAATCGATGGAAGTAGTCAACTAGTTATAGGAAGATGATCTAAAAAGCTTCTTAAGAGCGGAATGCTAATTAGCAATTATGCCTTTTCTCATCTGTATTATATGTACAATATTGGTGTTCAAAACAGGACAACTCATGTTTTTACTCGAAATGGGGAAAGTGGTTGTAGATACTGGCGCTTGTGTTCAGCTGTTATTTGCGATAGTATCTAAGACCACCAGTGCTCTCTTTGCAGGAGTGGACAATTCGCGGCGTCTCACTGAATATAGAATTTAATTAATACATAAAACAGTTCTTTGGTCCGAGGTTGGGGTCTACCCGATCTGTCTGACAAATTTTAACTATTTGCCAACTTGGGCACTCGTTCTGTAGAAATATAATCGCCCTCTCTATGCATCAATCTAATGTATATAATATTTTTGTAATAATATCGAAAGTTATTTTAAAGTGTAACTGCTTAAATGTACGAATTTTTCATACCATAACCCGAAATACAGCTCGTGCTGTCAAATCACGTTTTAAACAAATTAAATAATTTCGCATAGATTTTGTAAAATTTGGTAGTCAAATTTTAACTGTAATAACAAAGTCAATATTCAATTTTCGACTACAATTAACACGTAAAAAAACAATAAATAAATAAGCAAAAGTGCCGAAACTCATATCTCAAGACAATTAATATCATTGAACGGATTTGCTGGGGCTATGAGCGCTTTGAGCGCCTCTTAAAGTGTGACAACTGTCAAATCGATAGGTTTGTCGACCTGAATGATCGACATAATCGACTTGACATTTGTAAATCATTTAAAAATAGCACAAAATTTTAATAACAAATAAAAATTATATATTTTTTAAAAAATTCATTGTATTTAATAGCAGCGTAAGTGGTTCTTGAGGATTTGGTAATGAGCAATGGAGTGTGTAAACCGACAATACAATAGGAAATGATGTATAGCTTCTAACTGGCCACATGCATAACTTCTGTTATGCGATGCCAATAATTATTCGATACTTCTACGCATTTCACAAAGCGTAGAAAAACACTTAGGAACTGTAAATATATTTATTCATCTCAAACTTGCTTGCTAACCAGATACAGATTGATTTATTGATATTTCACAGATAAGAATTTTAATTTCGGTGTCGGATTGGAGACACAAGATTTATTTCTTATGCGTAAATTTCTTTGGTTTAGTTAATTTTTTTTCAGAAATGAAAATGTATTGACAATTTGCAAATTAGTTTCGTGACTTGAGGATTTAGGCGAAATACTCGTAATTAAAAAGGCTATGGTATAATATGCACGAATATGTAGTGATACCACAGAGCACTCTTGAGCTTTAAGACGTCAATAAGATCATCATTTTTGGTTAATGGTTAATGGCTTCATTAATCTTATGTGTCATCAAAACCTGTGCGATGATTAAAACAGGCCTACAATAATTTTTCTGAAATGATTTCATAATTCTGGAAAATTTTAGCTAAAATGTTTAATTTCTTAGAATCTTATGGTTGTATGATATAAGATAGTAATAACGATATATATATTTGTTGTTGAAAGAGCTCAATTTTAATAAAGTTAAATATATATATTTTACTAAGTAAAGATTTGTAGTTCTATAGAACTATTAAAGCTTGTTACAATAGTTGTAAAAAGAGAAAAATTTGAAAAAGTTGTATAGAGAGATAAAAAATGCTGTCCCTGGGGAAAATCTGGAAGAACCTATTTTTAAAGAGTTAAATGAGTATATTTTGTTACTAAGAAAGTTTAGTAGTAAAAAAAAATCTAATGTGCGATCTCCTTTTGGAGAAAAACTTTCAGGAGAAATTGTGTCTATTGATTTTTAATTCAAATCTGCAGACCTTATTTATTTCAATTAAAGTCAGATTAAGGTACTAAGTAGAAAGAATGAACGGATATTTTATTTTGTATTTGAAAGACTTTACACACTCAATATACCCTACAGATCTCAAATGCCATCATTAAAATAAGAAAGCAGTCATTAATCTGAGTTGAAATCAATGTAGACTGAGCAAACCTATTAGTATATTTGCTATTAATCCGAATGAGACACTCGCATTGGCATTTAATTTAGGATATAATCAATGATTTTTAACACTAATGCAGTCTGAAAAGTGGGTATCTCATAGAAGGGTTTGCGTTTTATAAAGATAGGCAAGTTAAACTTGTTTTATTAACTGTTGATTTAAGTCGAAATTTACAAATGCTGTAAATTTAATAAATAGATAGATAAATAGATGATAAAAGCTGTCATCATCCATCTGGTTATTGAATGATTTCCATCTGGTTATTGAATGATATTTGCAATGATAACATTAGATATAAGGACATTATGTTGTCCTTATATATTTGATCTGTAAGTGTATTCATATGTTAATCTGAAATAGGTACCGACCCGGTATGATCCATACTGACTGTAAAGTGAACGAATTGATTCATAATAATATCAATTAAAATATCTATTCTAATAAATATTGACTTTCATTTAGGTTGAATTTTATTTAACATACATGCAGAGTTTTGAAAATAATGTCTAATAAAATCTCTAATAAAATCACTGCACTTTAGAGGGTAGTGTGCCTCTAACATTGTAGTATCATAATGGGCTTGCATAAAGTGTGGTACGTCTTCTTATGCGACTTGCTGTAACTGGTTTCTTGGAAAATTAAATAATTTTGAAGTTCGTATGTCGCCTCTTAAGGGACTTCTAAGTAAAAATGTCAACCACACAAATTTTTGCTTAAAGGACGATGTGAAAGCTTTCTATTGAAAAGATTGGAATGCATTTTTTGTATAAAATGCTGTAACTATTTTTATCTGAATTTCCGTTACTTTTTTGCTCCTTAATACGAAATTTACGTTTTTATATTTACTTTAGAATACACTTTTCTCTTATACAAATTATTATGTTCCACTAACAGCTGTTATCCTTGAATATTTCGTCCTAAGCACTGTCAGCACTGCACCAACACAACAAAATAACAAATGTCAAAGTGACAGTAACGTTAACAAAAAACGGTTGTCCGCTCAGACAACAGTGCTGATGAGAGAAGAAATTAATGCAATGTTCGAAAATGAGTATTTTCCCTCTCAACTCAAAGCTTATAGCAAAGCTTTATTCAAAGGTTTATTACTCATTGAGAAATACAGAGAAATATAGAAAGTTCCACGCGTTTACAATGTTAAATA